CTGCTAGTGGGATTATACACTAGTAAATCAATTGTGTGCCTGTTAGTGGGAGGTTTATAACACTGGCCATGACCTATAGAGGAGACGTCTATTTCGCTTCCATACTCGTACCTGTTTTTCGTGATTATACTGGTTGACATGCTATAAGTTTAATTAAGAGCTATCCATATTTACTTACTGAGTTATCTCATAGTTTTTCCTTGTCCACCATTTTAGGAAGCGAAGTCAAAGACAGGAAAAAATGAGGGGAGTGACGAGTGAGAAGGCTAGCAATCTTGTAAATTGAACATAGATTTTAGATATAAATCGTGATCTTGTAAGCTAGATTTTATTTGGAGATTTTATGATATCAAAGTAAATTTTATAATTAAATCTTCAGATTTTGTGGTATCAGATTATGGTATAATAAGTTCCGAGCCTTGTGCATTTGTGGGACTCTCTCACAAGTGTACGGCGTCTGTCGTGTCCCCGGATTCGGGTTCTGGGGTGTGACAGATTTAATGGTATCAGAGCTTAGGTTTAAATTAAGGGTTTAGGATTAAATTAAACACCTCCAGATTGAGTGGTATCAAAGCTTAGATTTAATTAAATACCTAGGTTTAATTGAATACTTAGGATTTGTTTAGAACTTGGCTGGCCAGTGGATTTTAGAACTGTGGTGAGACGAGTGATGGCGTTATATAAGAGACGATTCTGATTCATGTTGCCTGAATTTTCTAATCCATTTTGATGAGATGGTAATCTGATTGTTCTTGCTTCCTGCCTTCATACCCTGTGTAGATTCATGAAATTAATCTTGTTCGCCATGTTCTTAAGACCTTGTTTAGAAACTTGGTCATTTTTTGATGGTCTGCACTTGTTTAGACTTGTTACTTAAATAGAATTTTTGTATGCTCTTTTGCCACAATTGTAAAATCTGGGGAGTTGCAGAGATTTTTTGTTATTGATCTTGTTGGTCTCTATGGCATAGCTGGTTGAGAAATTTGCTCTGTTTGTCACATGATCAGTGGAAGATGGGAAACCCTCTACTTTGTAAGAGATTCAAGGCTATTTTAGCAAATGTTGTGTGTTTTTTAGATGCGTTTTAGGAGCTGGATAACTTGGTAATTTCGTTGCTCATTATCTTTCTGAAAGTCTTATAGTGAAGTTTCACTTTTTCCATTTGGAGCTTCATGGTCTTTTCATGTGGCTCATTTTTCTATATTGGTTAATAAAAAACAGTGATCAATTCAATTGAAATTACTGTGTTTTTGTGAAGATTGGCAAGCTGTCATAAAGTTAAACTCTCTATTGTTGCTAATCTCTACATTCTTGATAACTGAAAACTGCTTGAAACTCTTGAAATCCGTCTTGAATCTTTCTTGAGATTGCTTTGTACTTGTTGTTGAAACTGAAATCCAAAGGAAATGGATAATGATTATTGAAATCCTCATTATCTTGATACTCGTCTGAAATTAATTCTTGCATTGTTCTTGGAATCTTATCTTGAACCTTGCCTAGAGTAAAGTCATGTTAGCATCCTTTCTTGAAAATCAATTGATATTTGGTTTTTGGAATCTATTTTGAATTGTTCTTGAAAACCATTCCTGTCCTGACTCTTGCTCTTGTTCAAATTCTGTATACTGCTCTTGCTCAAATCCTGCATATTCTGCTAGTTCTTGTTTTAGTATACCTATCGATCTTCTTGATTTTTGATTTTTGTTCATATGGACACCTCTTTGGAAGGGGTGATGATTATTAGAAAATACCTATATGAGGCATCCTAATTCTTGTCTCTTACAAGTGATGATTATTAGAAAATACCTATATGAGGCATCCTAATTCTTGTCTCTTGCAAGTGTTAATCTTTGTATTCTTGATGTCTTAGCTTTGACTTGACACTAGGATGTCTAGGATGATTTGATTGTAAATCTGCTTAGCCTCGATGGGCTACGAGATGAAGGAGTAGTCTTTGAAGTACCTGATGCCCTAGAGTTTTGTTCCAAGAGAAATGGTTTTTTTATCTGGCTATTTTGATTTTTGTTTGCCCTTTTAATTAGAAGACAGTAATCTTCTAAGTATCTTGATCCCCGCTATTGATTATTCTGTTAATTAATTCGTGTTATTTAGGGTACTAGATCTTGACATCCTGGTTATATCTGCTATTGAATCCGTGTTTTGGTTGTCATTATTGAAATCTCTTTTGTGGGTCTAATCCTTGAATTCTATTGCTTGTTTCATGGTTAACTCTTGTCTCTCAATTTTGACTGCTTGGTTAAATTTGATCTTGATCTTAGTGAATGCTGTGTTGTTGCTGAATTTTTGAGGCATTTTACCTTGCACTCTTATGTTCCAGTATTCTTCCAAGCATTCATATTTTCCACTGATTTCATTCTGATGCTATTCTGGAAATTTCACATGTCATTTGATGGGTCTAGCTTTTAACTCTTGTTAATTGCTAAAATCTGTCTCTTGATTCTAGTTGCTTTGTTAAACATGACCTTACTTATTGGTTAACCTTGTTGTGGCATAATTTATAAGGCATCCATGCACCTGTTCATTCATTCCATATATCCATTGGATGCTTATCCATCTTTGATAGAGTTCAAAATTTTGTTGTACTCGTCTTTAAATCCATGCCATCCTTTGCCAACTCGTCTTGTGTTGGGTTCATAGCGTAATCCCAAAATTGTTCTTTGGTGGCTTTGGCAGGATTTATTTCTATTCCTTGTGCTTCTCATATCACCCCAGCCTCTAATAACTTGTTTCATGGTAAATCCTGTTAAGCAGTTAAGGTTCTGCCTTTATGATTAGTTGTGGTTTGATATCAGAGTGGAGCAACAGAAGCATGGTAGGTTATGTTCTGTTCATAAAGAGTTGCTGAGGCATTTGTTTTCTCTCGGATTGTGTGAAGCCATTCACTGGTCTAAATGATCCTCAATTTGAGTTTTGGGGACAAAACTTCTTTTTAGGAGGGGTGAATGTAACATCCCAAAATTTTGTGATATTTTAGCATTTAAGTAAGGGTTTTTGTGAGAGAAAATATTATTTTGGGGCCTAATAGTGAATATTCTCAAACTTGAGAGACTTAGAAGAGAAAAGGATTTGGATAAGGATCAACTGTTTTTTTTCCTTCTTTCTTCTTCCTCACCCGTGCGTTTCTCTTCTTCTTCTCCCCTGCAGCCGAACAAAGGCCCCCAAGCCCGACAGCACCTCCCTTTGAAAAACCGGTAGAAAGCTTGAGATTTCCCCTTTCTTTTCTTGTTCTATGACTGAAATTGAACCCAGAATTCTTCCCCCTGCAGAGAAATTCCAGATCTGCTCGGTTTCTCCCCCTCCCCTGTCCGTGAGCTGCAGCTTGTGATGCGATTTTTGGGCTTTTTCTAGTAAGCAACAGCCATTAAATTCTCTATTTTTCCTTGAATTGGCTTGGGTTAACTTTGATTTCTCTTGGTTTCTCCAATTTCCGGTAGATTCCCCCTGAATTTCTCCTTCATTCCCGCTGGCCTTCCCCTAGCTTGCAGCTCTGGTTTGCTTGTTTCAAAATTTTGGTATGTGACAGCCCTTTAAGCCTAAAATTATCCATTTAAATTGCTGCTTGTGCTGTCCGAAATTCTGCATTAATTAGGGGATAATTCCGGTAGCTTTAGGACAAAATTTAAGCATTAATTCAAGTGAAATTTATGTGATTGAGTGTTAATTGACTGCTATGAGATTTTGGAGAAAAATCCCGTGAGATTAGCTATGGTTTTGCCAATTTTTGGAAGTTGCAGTTACTGTTCATTACGTGGTACTGTACACGGGTACTGTTCACGCACTAATGGCCAATAATAGGAGGGTTTAAATGTTTAGTTATACTGAGAATGAAATTGAGATGTCCGGTCATATGGAGACTAATAGAAATAGCATTGTGATTAGGGGTGATCCTAATAAAGTTTTCACTTTGAATTTGTGATAGTACGGTATTAATTTTAGGATATTTTGATTAGGTTTTTGAGTGTTCTGTCACCCGAGCATGTGGCTTGAGTCTTTGGTTTTATGCGATTTGAGGCAAGTAAATTATGGTAACGCCTTTCGATTTTAAAGTATATTTTAACTTGTTTTTGAGGTGGTGGCGAGACTAAACCCGTTTTATACAAAAAATGAGCATGATTGATTTGAAATAAGATTATTATTCTTTTTATTGATTGGAGCATGCCTGCTTGGAGTTTATTTAACTGCCCTGATGATTCGGAAATTATCTGTACAGTATGATTTTCTGTTAAATTCTGCTTGTTTTGTCTCCAATATGGTCATATTATTTGTGTGCCCACTAGTGGGAGGTTTATAAACGCTAGCACATGTCGACATGTTACTGATAGAACTGGTTTGTTTTTGTTATCCTACTAGTGGGATTATACACTAGTAAATCGTGTGCCTTTCAGTGGGAGGTTTATAACACTAGCCATGACTTATAGAGGAGACGTCTATTTCGCTTCCATACTCGTACTTGTTTTTCGTGATTATATTGGTTGGCATGCTATAAGTTTAATTAAGGGCTATTCATATTTACTTGGTGAGTTATCTCATAGTTTTTCCTTGTTCACCATTTTAGGAAGTGAAGTCAAAGACGGGGAAAAATGAAGGGAGTGACGAGTGAGAAGGCTAGCCATCTTGTAAATTGGGCATAGATTTTGGATATAAATCGTGATCTTGTAAGCTAGATTTTATTTGGAGATTTTATGATATCAGGGTAAATTTTATAATTAAATCTTCAGATTTTGTGATATCAGATTGTGGTATCAGATTATGGTATAATAAGTTTCGAACCTTGTGCATTTGTGGGACTCTCTCACAAGTGTACGGCGTCTGTCGCATCCCCGGATTCGGGTTCTGGGGCGTGACAATTATATTTAGTTATAATATGAAACATGAGGAAAAGGAAAAAGGAAAATATTTGGAACTCATCACATTAGTAAAAAGTAATTGTAGAAATGAAGAGGAGAATATGATATATTGGTATAGAAAAAGTGACTAATGATTAGAGGTGGGAGGAAGATGGAAGGGTATAAAGAAAAATCATGGAAAATATGTGTCATTAAAGATCATGAGAGGGTATGCATTTATAAATTTAAACACTGACTCTTTGTTTTCTTCATTTAAGAGTTTTTAATTTAATTCATATTATTAAATAGATTTATTTACATAATCTATTGTTTTATAATTAAAATTAAATGATAAATTTTAGGGTTAATTAATTTATTCTTCAGTTACTATTAAAAAATTAATTAG